TTAAAAAAAAAAAAAAAAAAGAAGAAGAAGAAGAAGAAGAAAGAAAGAAAGAAAGAAAGAAAGAAAGAAAGAAAGAAAAAGAACAGAGAGACGGGGATGGTTCGGCAACTAGGCCACAGCTGGATGTATCTGATTTTTTTCCAGGCTAGACTTGGTTAATCATTTTGGCAAGAGTTTTATGTGGAGGGAGCTGTCTTTCCCGTGCTTTAAGACTGTGTGGCTGTCCTGATCCCCAGTGATCCTTCTCCAGTGGATCTGGCATCCACTATGAGCCTTGTCTGAATCTGTTATCTTATTTGAAGCTGCTCAGCAGTGAGTGCCAGCCATCCCTTCCACATTTTGATTGACATTCTACTGAGAGAGAGAGTTTCCTGGGGCTGGGGAGATAGCTCAGACCAGAGGTTCTCAACCTTCCTAATGCTGCGACCCTTTAATACAGTTCTTCATGTTGTGATGACCCCAGAACCCATGTGAATGCTGGGCTGGCAGCAGATGGCCCCTCATCCCAGCCTTGAAAGAAAAGACAGGAGAGCCTCAGAACAAACTGACCAGAGAGACTAGACAAGTCGGCGAGTTCTAGGTTTCCTTGAAAGACCCAGCCTCAATGATTAAGGAGGGAGAGCACTCAAGGACAATTCCCAACCTCAACCTTGGGCTTCCACACACATTTGCATGTGAACCTACCCACACATATATGCCAACAAACATGTTAACCATGCACGAACACACTGAGAAGAAGGCTTCTCCTTTCTCCCTCTCTCCAACCCTTTCTCCTCCTTTCTCTGGGTATTGCTATGAACATTTTTTTTTTGGTCCATTGATAGTTTTATTTAAATATAGCTCTTCTCACTTGCCTACATGCCGTCATAGACAGTTTTGGAGGTTTTCTGTTTTGTTTTTTGTTGGTGGTTGTTGTTGTTGTTTGGGAGTTTCTGGGGGGGTTGTTTTGGTTTGGTTTGGCTTTTGTTTTGGTTTTTGTTCCCCTCCTTTGGTATTTTGAGGCAGGGTAACAGTACTTTTGACTGTCCAGGAACTTGCATCCGCCTGCCTCTGCCTCCCAAGTGCACAAAATAAAGGTGGTTGCCGCCTCCACCACCACCTGGCTGACAGTTTATACTCTATTGTGGCAGAGTTCCACCTGCCTCTGCCCCCAAGTGCTGGACTAAAGTTGTGAGACACTATATGCAGCTTGAACTCAAAAAAAATTTTTTTTAATGTAAGCATTTTAGCTTAAGTATTATTTTGGTACATTTTTCTGCTATAACCAAAAATCGCCTGAGTCTGAGGGCTAGGAATGCATGTCATGTATGTCAGTGACAGTACAACGCATACTTGGAATAGGCAAGAGCCTGGTTCAGTCCCCAGGACCACCAAAAATAACATCAACAACAAAACCACCTTGATACAGAGTAACTGAGAAACAATACAAAGTTATTTCTTACAGTTTTGCAGGCCAGGAAGTCAGAGGCCAAAAGACTTGAAAAGGAGCCATGCTAATTCTCTCCTGTGGCAAAAAGGTTGCTAATCTCACTGAGACGGGTCCACTCTCATGAGTTAACCACCCCCTAAAGGACATATCTGTTATACAATCACATTAAGGGTTCTATGAATTTTACAGGACACACAAGCATTCAAATCATGCATCCTGTATCACAGTGTCTAGTCGCAACACTGTAACAAAAGTTACTTGACTTATTACCATTTCTGTACAATCAGCAAATGTTGATATCTGGATAAATGCTTTATCTTCTCTTAACTTTAGGCTATGCTTTTTTTTCCACTTAATTTTTAATTTGTACATTGATACAGCTCAAATTTCAAAACTCCACTAAAAAATAAACTCAAAGTCTCAGTTCCATCCCTTCCTGCCGCCTCCATCCCCTAATCATGTGTACACTCAGAAGAAACCATCTCATTGGTTAAGGGATTATGTTATTTCCACAAGACTAAAATGTTTATTTCTCCTTTGTTGTAGGATAATCTTGTTGTACACTGTGTGAAGATGTGTCTATGTTTTTCCTCACCTGCCTGTATCATCTGATTGGTTTAAAGAGTTGAATGGCCAATAGCTAGGCAGGAAAGAATAGGCAGGACTTCTAGGCAAAGAGGGGAACTCAGGGTTAGACTCGGGCATGGCAGGAAACACCAGCAAGACATGGAGGGAGAGGAACATAGAGAATGGAGAGAGTTTTACCTCTGCCAGTGGCAGAACATAGATTAACAGCTTGATTTGAGGTATAAGAGCTAGTTGGGAACAAACCTAAGCTAAAAGCCAAGCTTTCATAATTATAAGTCTGTGCCAATATTTGAAGACTGATGGTCCAACAGAAGTCCTACAAGAAAGACTTGATTCACTCCTGTTATAGTACTTTTGTTTTTGTCTTTTTTGTTTGTTTGTTTTTTGAGCCAGGGTTTCTCTGTGGAACAGTCCTGGATGTCCTGGAACTTGCTCTGTAGACCAGGCTGGCCTTCAACTCAGAGATATCTGCCTGCCTCTGACTCCCGAGTGCTGGGATTAAAGACATGTACTACACTGCCCGGCATACTTCTCTTTCCTTTCTTTTCTTTTCTTATTTCTTGTTTGTTTGGGATTTTTATTTTTAGATTTTCTTCATTTTTATTTTATGTGTATTGGTGCTTTGCCTGTAAGTATGCCTGTGAACCATGTACGCACCAGTGCCCATAGAGTCCAGAAAAGGGTATCAGATCCCCTGAAACTGCAGTTACAGACAGTTGTGAGCTTCCATGTGTGTTGTAATTTAAGAAAAGGAGCACTAGAGAGAAAGATGCCATAAGACAGGGTTCAAATAGAGAGTTTTTTTATTGGGGACAGGGATCATAAAAAAAAAAAAGGCTCACGTCTTTAATCCCAGCACTCGGGAGGCAGAGGCAGGAGGATCTCTGTGAGTTC